TGTGGCATCACAGCTCACAGCAACCTCCAGCTCCTGGGCTTAGGTGATTCTCTGGCCTCAGTCTCCCGAGGAGCTGGGACTACTGGCGCCCACCACAATGCCCGGCTATTTTTTGTTGCAGTTTGGCAGGGGCCAGGTTTGAACCCGCCACCTTTGGCATGTGGGGCTGGCGCCCTACCCACTGAGCCACAGGCGCAGCACCCCTCTATTATTTTCTATATGCATGAAATATTTCACAACTAAAGTAAAAAGTAGGCTCAGTGTCTGTGGCTCAAGCCGCTAAGGCACCAGCCACACACACCTGAGCTAGTGGGTTTGAATCTAGCCCCGCCAAACAACAATGATGGCTGCAACCAAAAAATAGCCAGGTGTTGTGGCGGGCGCCTGTAATCCCAGCTACGTAGGAGATGGAGGCAGAAGACTCACTTAAGCCCAGGAGTTGGAGGTTAGTGTGAGTTGTGACACCACGGCACTCTACCCAGGGCAACAGCTTGAGGCTCCGTCTCTAAATAAATAAATAAATAAAGTAAAAAGTAGGCTTACTTGTCAATACAATTAAAAAACTAAAATTGAGAGAAATCAAAAGGTTTTTGGTTTTTTTTTGAGACAAAGTCTCATTATGTTGCCCTCCGTAGAGTGCCATAGCGTCACAGCTCACAGCAAACTCAAACTCTTGGGCTTAAGCAATTCTCTTGCCTCAGCCTCCCAAGTAGCTAGGACTACAGGCACCCACCACAATACCAGGCTATTTTTGGGGGGGGGGTTGCAGTTGTCCTTGCTGTTTAGCAGGCCCGGGCTGGGTTCAAACCCACCAGCTTCAATGTTTGTGGCCGGCACGCTACTCACTGAGATATAGGTGCTGAGTCCAAAAGGTACTGTTTCCCCTAAAGTAAAACACTGTGTTATATTTATTTTTTCTCAAGAAGACACACTAGGGCTTATTTTCAGAGGATGTCTTATTTTTATTAAGTATAATACAACAATCTACATTTATTCAAATACAGTTAAGTCACCTTCTGGAACCTGATAGGGGAAGCCGACCTTGCTGGTGGGGGCTGGCGCTAGTGATGTGTAAACTCCTTTCCCCTAGCCGTTCGCACGTGCCCAATAGGATGCACATGCACAAGTGCGAATGTCTTGGAGAAAGGAGCTGTGGCAGATAAAAGGTATTCCAGTCTTCCTTACTGCGCACCAAAATGCATGGCCCATCACTAGGTCTTATTATGAGGTAGGGCTTATATTTAACAAATGCATAGAAATCCTGCTAGGGCTTATTTTGGGGTTAGGTCTTATTTTCAGGGAAACACAGTAGTTTTTTTAAAAGCCTAGTATAAGGTTGGGTGAGGTGGGTACAATGGCTCACTCTTATTATAATCCTAGCACTCTGGAAGGCCAAGGCCGTGGATCAATTGAGCTCCAGAGTTCGAGACTGGCCTGGGCAAGAGTGAAACCCTATTTAAAAACAGCTTGGTGCTATGGCAGCCACTTAAAGTCCCAGCTACTCAGGAGGCTGAGGCAAGACAATCACTTGAGCCCAAGAGTTTGAGGTTGCTGTGAGCTGTGACACAGAACACTCTACTGAGGGTGAGAAAGCAACACTCTGTCTCAAAAAAAAAAAAGTATGGTACACCTTTTGGGGGCAGGACACAAATATAAGAGTGTCCTTATCTAACAAAAGCAATCAATGTAACCTGGTTCTGTGTACTCTCAATAAATCCCCAACTATAAAAAAAGGGGGAAAAAAGAAAAGAAAAATCCATCAGCACTGTGGCAGGCACCTGTAGTCCCAGCTACCTGGGAAGCAGAGGCAGGAGGATTGCCTGAACCTAGGAGTTTGAGGTTCCTGTGAGCTAGGCTGACACCACAGAATTCTAGCCTGGGTAAGAGAGTGAAACTCCAGAGACACACATAGCCAGTCAGCCTAGTATAACATATACAAAAAAGTAATAGGTTAGCATTGGGTTAACACTTAGTTTTTAGGCCAGGCACCTGTAGTCCCAGCTACTCAGGAGGCTAAGGCAAAAGGACTGCTTGAGCCCAGGAGTATGAGGTTGCTGTGAGCTATGATGCCTCCATGGCACTTTATCCAGAATAAAAGAGCAAAAGAAATTTTTTTTCAGGGCGGCACCTGTGGCTCGGTTGGGTGCTGGCCCCATATACCAGAGATGGTGGGTTCAAACTCAGCCCCGGCCAAAAACTACGAAAAAGAAAAAAAAAATTTTTGTTCTGTTTTTTTTTTTACATTAGGGCACATCAAAAATGAACTGATTTTGCAAAAAAAAAGCCTTCAGTAAATTGTGGATGTCTTACATTTAAAAAGCAAACAACAGCAAGAAAAAATATCTAGGGGTTGGGGGCGGGGGACTTGTCTTTTTGTTTTCCTTCTAAAGATAGAGATAAAAGAAAAAGATTCCCTACCCAAATTCTTGCTGTCAAAGTTTTTTTTGTCAAGATATGCATCTTCTGTCATTTCAAATAAAAGGTCATGAAAGTAATTTTTTTTCTAATTATTCACAAATAAAATTATAATGCTTCTCCTGATTTGTGAAAGAGGAAGTAAAATACAGAATTGTCAGGATGGTAAAGACTAGAAGAAAGGGAATAAAAACTGTAGAAGGTAATGCAGATTTCTGCTAAAACCACAGAAAGCAATTTTGAAATCTTTTAAGTATAAAAATACTACCCAATTATTTTAGAAAAGATATTTTCAAATAAGCATTCAGAATACAAGGTTTTCAGGAGCAATACCAGACAACTAATATACAAGTGAAAACTCTTACGTACCTTTTAAATAAACAGATAGCAATATAGATGGCCATGAAAACATAGCAAGTGTTTGTACAGTTTTCTAATCTTGACCTAAGCCTATCACTGACTTCAAGTTAATGTAAATTTTTCACATAATTTGTAAACCACCTAGTAAAATTACATGTAGAGACATAAAAAGACAACAGGCTTTTTTAGCCATCATTAAAGAAATTTCACAAGTCCAATGGATGTAAAGAAAAGCAAACCAACGTGAGACAGAAGGTTCTCCAAATTTATTCTCATAACTCATACACAAGGAATGAAACAGCAAATTTTCATGTATATATTACATTTGTACCCATTTCAATGTTTTTGTTTGTTTTGAGGCAGAGTCTCACCTTGTTGCCCTCAGTAGAGTGCCATAACGTCACAGCTCACAGCAACCTCCAACTCTTGGGCTTAAGGGATTCTCTTGCCTCAGCCTCATGAGTAGCTGGGACTACAGGTGCCCACCACAATGCCTGGCTATTTTTTGTTGCAATTCTCATTGCTGTTTTAGCTGGCTGGGGTTGGGTTCAACCTGCCACCCTCGGTATATGGGGCTGACGCCCTATCCCCTGAGCCACAGGTGCTGCCCCCCCATTTCAATGTTTTAAAGCTTTATAATTTAGTTTGATGAGTAAATTGAAAACAATAATAAACCACTCTCGAGCACAATTCAAAAAGCTTATTAAAATAACTACATACATAAGTAAAAAATAGGACAGCTTTTTAAGTTTTCTTCACAAATTATATTCAATTATGGAAGACTTTCTTAACTGTCTAGGCAAGCCCCTCCCTTCTGCAAGTGTAATTTCCACATTAAACATACAATTTTCACGTTGAACATACAATTTCCACAAATAAATGTCTCTCTCTCTAGCTTGTAATCTGTAAGAGTGCAGGTAGGGGCTGTTTCAGTTTTACTTATGGCTGCTGGACACACCTAAGTAATTATTTCTTGAATGAAAGAAAAAAAGCTCCAAGAACGAACAGGTCTTTACTTATTTTTTTAAATGAAAGCAACACAATTTCTGGTTCAGGGCGCTCCCCCCATATACAGAGGGTGGTGGGTTCGAATCTGACCCCCAGCCAAATTGCAACAAAAAAATAGCCCAGCTTTGTGGCTGGTGCCTGTAGTCCCAGCTACTGGGGAGGCTGAGGCAAGAGAATCACCTAAGCCCAAGAACTGTAGGTTGCTATGAGCTGTGACACCACAGCACTCTACCGAGGGCAAAAAGTTATTCACTCAAAGTAGTTTTTTAAAAGAATAACCCTGGGCCTGGTGCAGTGGCTCATGCTTCTAATTCCAGTACTCTGGAAGGCAGAGACGGGAGCATCCCCTGAGCTTAGGAGTTTAAGAGCAAGAACAAGAGGGAGACACAGTCTTTCATAAAAATAGAAAAATTATCCCAGTGTTCTGGTGGGCACCTGCAGTGCCAGCTACTCGGGAAGCTGAGGCAGAAGCTTCGATTGGACCCAGGAATTTGTGGTTGCTGTGAACTAAGCTGAAGATTGGGCACTCTAGCCTGGGCAACAGAGTGAGATTGTGTCTCAAAAATAAATAAATAAAAATTTAAAAAAATAAATAAACCTGGCTTAGCCTTTAGTCAAGCAGTTCATTGAACCAGTGAACTCTGGGAAAGCAGATAGGGTAAGGAGAATACAGAGTAGGCGCTCAAAGTACGCCTGCTAAATGAAACGAAATTAACGAATATTATCACAAAATGAGCCAAATGAGATCCATTCTAGAAGAGACTGCACACACAAAGTTCACCGCCACCGTGGCCACAGTTAATGGGAACCACTACTCTCGTGCTTCCCACCAGCTGTGGTTCGAGGGCTCTGATTTCCCTCTGATTCCTAGGCCACTCCAACCCAACGCGTTAAGTTCACAGAATGGCTTGGGGAAGGAAATGACAGCCAATGTTTAGCCGGCACGAAACTGGTGTCTTTTTGAGTTAAAGACGTCTCCCATTTCAACGTCCTTTTATTGTTCCTCTCCCATTTTACAAAAATCAACAAAAAACTTGAACTGGGGAAATGGAATCAAAGACTATCACCAGATCCAGGTTAAAAAATGTCAGAGTTTACAAAGCTTGTGACACACCGAGAGTGACCAAGTCCCCGCAGTGTCCAGAACTGTGGGACTCTCGTGTCACCCAACCTGTATGGAAGAAAGGCTGCCCGGGAGGAGCGGAGGAACTGGGTACCTTGGAAGGGGAGGCAACGACAAGCCCCCGCACAGGCGGGTTCCGAGTCCCCAGCCAGGGCCCCCATAGCCGGTCGAAGAACGCTGGCACAGGCTCCGACATGACAGGAGAGCGCGCCGCCGCCCGGAGGTGCTTGGGCCTCGCTGAGACCGGGAAGAAGCGGCGCCGCCCGCTCTTCCCCGATCCCAGGGTGGCCCGACAGGCCTAACCCGGCTCCCTGCCCTGCTTGCCCGTCCCCTCCTCCTACTACTCCCCGCCCGCCGTTGGCCGGCCCGCCACGAGCTCTGGGACTAGGATGGGAGGCGAGCGCGCGAGCCATAGCGCACTCACCATTGTCAGCGCCGCCGCCGCCGCCGCGTTCCCGCAACTTCACTCCTCTTCCCTCAGTAGAACTCCCACCCCGGGCGCCCTCGACTACAGAGCCCCGTCACGTGACCTGAGGCCGCCAGCCACACGTGACCATCCCCTTCCTCTATCCCCTCCCCCCGCACCGGGCCCAACTCGGGCCTCCCGCCCCGCCCTACGGGCCACCGGGCCCGCAGAGAAAAGGCCGTTTGGAGGCGGGGCCTCATGCTCCCTCTTCAGAGGACGGGGCGGGGCCCCGGCGGCTGACGTCAGTGGGAGGAGCCTGGGCCGCTGTGAGAGTGCCAGGTCCGCCTGGTCCTCTTTTTTTGTCACAAGACGTGCAGTTGACGGGTGGGCGGTTGGCTGTCGGATTCCTTGGCCACACCTTGTTCTCCTTCTCGATGGAAGTTTGAGTGACTGGGAAGGAAGGAAAAGAGAATGGAAGGGTACGGTAGGCCCTCTCCTCGGCTGTGATGCTGGGTGGCTGAGGCGTTTGCGACCTGAGGCCCCAGGACAGATGTGCTTAATCCACGGATCAGGAGGTCGTCAGTCTTTCTGGACTGCAATCCAGCTCCTCCTACTAGATTTTTGGCGTTTTGAGAACTTGTTAGCCTTCTCGCTTCTGAATAGAAGATCAATAGTAAAAAAATTCTTAGAGTACAACATTTATGGCTTCCTAAAGTCCACAGGTTGCCCTAGAGGGCTCAAAACTAAAGTATTCCGCCTTGACCTGTGAGAGGAAGAGGCCTTCCTAGCGGTGCTGCTGAAGACTACTCTGGCTTAACCTGTAACCTCATCTCTTTTGTCACCCAGAAGACCTCCAGATGAATAAAGTACTGGTTAGGATTTCAGGACTTAGTAGAACCACCATCCTGCACTCTGTACATAACCAAAGCAGAAAAAAAAATTCATACTCTAAAGGCACAATAATTTTCTCAACACAGCAAAACAAAATCAAGTTTGTGAGGCGGCTCGGCGCCTATGGCTTGAGTGGCTAGGGTGCCAGCCACAGCTAAGGTGGCAGGTTTGAATCCAGCCTGGGCTGCCAAACAACAATGATAGCTGCAACCAAAAAAATAGCCAGGCTCTGTGGCAGGTGCCTGTAGTCCCAGCTACTTGGGAGGTGGAGGCAGGCGACTCGCTTGAGAACAGAAGTTGGAGATTGCTGTGAGCTGTGATGCAACAGTACTCTACACAGGGGGACAGTTTGAGGCTCTGTCAAAAAAAAAAAAAAAATCTGTGAGGCAAGGCCATAAAGCAAATTGAAGAAGACTGAGATCAGAGCGAAGTCCCTAACCATAGTAGAATTAAACTAGAAATCAACAAAGAATATAAGAAAATGCCTTAAATATTTGGAAACTGAGCAACATAGTTCTAAACCTCTAGGTGGAAGAAGAGATAAATGGAAATTTAAAAATAGTTTGAACTAAAAGATGATGGTCATTCAACATATTACAATTTGTGAGATGCAGCTGAAGTAGTCCATAGAGAGAAATCTAACTTTTAAGCGTATATATTTGGAAAAAGGTTTTTTGGGTTTTTTTGAGACAAGAGTCTCACTATGTCTCCCTTGGTAGAGTGTCATGCTGTCACAGCTCACAGCAGCCTCCAACTCCTGAGCTTAAGTGATTCTCTTTCCTCAGCCTCCCAAGTAGCTGAGACTATAGGTACCCACCACAACACCCAGCTATTTTTTGGTTGTAGTTGTCGTTGTTTAGCAGGCCCAGGCCTGGCTTGAAACCTCGGTGTATGTGGCTGGCTCCCTACTCACTGAGCTACAGGCACCAAGCCAGGAAAAAGGTTTTGAAAGGGTGTGAAATGCGTACTCAGGCAGAGAAAGATTTTTCTACCATAAGTAGAATATAAAGGAAAAGTTTGGCCAGGCGTGGTGGCTCGCACCTGTAAATCCTAACACTCTGGAAGGCCAAAGCGGGTGGATTGCTTGAGCTCACAAGTTTGAGACCATCCTAAGCAAAACCGAGACCCTGTTTCTACTTTAAAAAAGAACAAAAACTGACAGGTGGGGCCAGTGGCTCAAGGAGTAGGCACCGGCCCCATCCATATACTGGAGGTGGCAGGTTCAAACCCGGCCCCAGTCAAAAACTGCAAAAAAAAGGCAAGAGGATTGCTTTAGCCCAAGAGTTGAAGGTTGCTGTGTGCTATGATACCATGGCACTCTATCCCGAGTGACCACTTGAGACTCTGTCTAAAAAAACAAGAGTCTATTTTATTTTTTCAGGAGAGAGAGAAAGGAGGTTGGTGTTAATAAACTCAGAAAGGAAGGGTTTAATATTGCTAGAGGTTAATATTGGTCATTCTTGCAGCCTTGGGAGCAGGCTCAGCAGGTCCTAGGGCACAATCTGTGGTGACCTATGGCTTATCTTGTCTTTTCCAGATAAACAGGTGGGGTAAGGCTTTGTACTTATCTGGTGACTACAAGGAGGCCCTACCGTTTCTGCGAAAGAAATTCAAAAGGACCTCGGTGCAATGAAGGTGCTACAGTAATTCTTACTGGCCTGGGAATTTAAAATATTAAAAAAACTATGAAAAAATTGTAAAAAAAAAATTTCTGATTTATGGAGCCAGCTACAGAGGGAGTGGTTGCAGCGTGAGAATAAAGAAGTAAAAGTACTAGGCCCTCAAGAAAAGCAGCTCAGTGATTTTTCTCTGCTTCAGCAGACTGAGAAGAGAAGCAACCAGGAAGCTGTCTGTTTCAGGTGTTCTTTGCTTTCCTTTTTTTTTGAGACAGAGTCTCAAGCTGTCACCCTGGGTAGAGTGCCATGGCATCACTGCTCAAGCAACCTCAAACTCTTGGGCTTAAGTGATCCTCTTGCCTCAGCCTCCCAAGAAGCTGGGACTACAGGCGCCTGCCACAGCATCCAGCTATTTTTTGGTTGTAGTTGTCATTGTTTCACGGGCCTGGGCTGGATTTGAACCACCAGCCTTGCTTATGTGGCTGGTACCCTAGCTGCTTGAGCTACAGGTGCTGCGCCTGTTCTTTACTTTTCCTCTTTTCTCTGTGAGGCCAGCTTCCCTAAGTCTTTGGAGTCTGATTTTTAGCAGGAACTGAGAGAGCTGGAGTGGGAGCTCGTACCCCTACTGTTGGCTTATGGCTCTTCAAGGCTGAGAAACAACTCTTAGAGATATTAGGCCACAGGTCTTTAATTAAAACAAAAAGCAATTGTGCTGTGAGTTGATTTCTCTTATTTTCTGTTTGATATTTTATTTTTCTCTATTAGCTGAGTTAATATAGTATGGCCACCTTCAAGTTTGAAAATCAGTAATCTCAATTTATATATCAGGGGCTCAGCGCCTGGAGCTCAAGCCGCTAGGGCGCCAGCCACATGCGCCAGAGCTAGAAGGTTCGAATCCAACCTGGACCTGCCAAACACCAATGACAACTACAGCCAAAAAATAGCTGGGCATTGTGGCAGGTGCCTGTAATTCCAGCTACTTGGGAGGCTGAGGCAAGAGAATCGCTTAAGCCCAAGAGTTGGAG